GACAGAGTGTAAAGAAGAGGTCTTCGAGTCTGCTTGTCATATTTGATAGGGATACTAAATTTAGATGGTGCCCTTTAATGTCAGGTGACTGTCTCTTTAAATGTTGCTGTTTTGGCATACGTGTAACAGCCTGGTAGAATTCACATCACTATAAGAACAAAACAAAACAAAACAACCTTTACATCTATGAACCTTTGTTTTAATGTCTGTAGAATGGGCATACGGACCTTTTTGCTCTGTGGGCAAATGAGAAGGAAGCACCTTTCTGTCCCTACCCTGATCCATCCTTCCCATACTTAGTGCACAGTTATTCATGAAACTGGGGAAGGTGAATGAAAGACAGCGCTTGCAAAAGTGAGAACCAGCAATAGCTGATTTAATACCTGTGGCTGTTAAATGCCCCTCACCTGCTGATCTGGAAATCCTTTAACATTAGCATATGAAAGAGAGATCTGCTAAATGTATTCCCAAAAGGTACTGGTGATTTCATAGGCTAACCCTCCAGGAAGAAAAGGGCATTTGGCTAACACCAGGAATGCCTTGCTTATGACGGATTTTCAGGTGCCCAAGATCCCCAACCCCCATCTCTGAGATCCTTGAATGACACCATCTAGGGTCATTTAAGGGTCTCAGACCTCATTCCAAAGTCTCTTTCCAAAGGCTCAAGCCCTACACACGTCTGCGGCACTGGCTTCCAGTCCTGGCTCTGCCCCTGGAGGGCTGCGTGGCTTTGGCCACATTCTCCTACCTGTGTGGTGAAGGCGGTGGATAACACGTTCTCTGCTGCACCTCTGTGGTTCTAAAGTTCTGTGTTCATTGAAAGGTGGAGATGGCTGTCAGAACTGACAACACAAAGCAGGTGTTTCTTAGTTCCTCTTGGCTCGAGTTTCTGCCTCCTGGACAGAAACGGGGAAATAGGTGTGTTTCTGACTCCCTGGCCTGGGTCATAGAATCAGAGTTGTGGGTGGCTGGCAGGAAACCTAAGGGATTCTAACACCCAGGTCCTAGCTCTTTCCCTCCCTCAACAGAAATTTACTATGAGCTGATCTGTGAATAGAATACAGCCAGGGGGCCACCTATTGTGTTCGCTAATTTACCCATGGCACATAGAGCAATGGCAGGCACATAGTAGGTGCTCATTGAATACACGATGGGTAGTTTCTTGTAGGAGCATCATCTAGGGGAGCCTTTTAAATGCAGATTCCTGGGCCTGCTGCAGACCTACTGAATGGTAATCTCTGGTAGTAGAGCCCAGATGACTGCCATGCCCTCCAGAGTTTGAGAGCCACAGTTATAAGCGTCTGAATAAACTATGCTCCTAGTATCAGAAGGGAGAAAATGCTGATGTTTTTAATTTTGAACATTTGTCAGTGGTGACCGTAATATTCAAGTGAAAAAGGCTCATTTTGCTGTAGCCATTTCTGTGGAGCCCAGAGGAGTCTGGGCTTTGCCTGGTGTGTGTGCAAGGCAAACTTTCACTAATCTCAGGAGAGGTGAGGCCAATAAAAAGGCAGAGCAGATAGGAGTGAGCCACATGAAGTCCAAGTTTGGCATTATTATTGCCCTTCACTTGGAAGTCATAAAATAAGAAATGTGCCACCGTTCCAGTTTCTTGGGAACGGTTAGCTGGTGTGAGGTTTTCCTCGATTCCTTTCAAGGGTCTGTGGCTTGGACCAGAGACAGACCTGGGTTCAAATCTCAGCTGTGTCTCTAACTGCTTGGTCTTGGGCTAATCACTTGAACCTCTCTTAAGCTTTAGTTTCCTCAGTCGGAAAATGGATATAATGCTGACCACTCAGGGTTGTTGAAAACAACCTGAGGGGCACATGCACGAGACGGAAAGCTTAGTTTTGGCCGGTAACCTATATATGACCATTGTATTTGCTGTTTGTTTACCTTAGCCCTTTTGTTTTAAAGGTAGGGAAAACAGCCTGATGGAGGGCAAGCAAACTGCACAAGATCAACTAGTACCTTAGGTTTCTTTGGGGTTTCTGTTCTCAGTGAAGACCTTTGAAGTCTTCCATGGACCAGGGAGAATGAGGGGGTTGAGCTCAGTAGGTGGCTTGCCACGATGAAGGCATTTTAAAATGTGCTTTTGAAAAGAAAGCAGCATATCTCGGGTGGGGAGTCTTCTCACCTGAGTTGTGTGCCAGCCAGAAGCCCTTCCTGAGGATGCAGTGATTGGTGAGAAAATCCTGGAAGCTGGACAATTTGTGGATCTTCCTTCAATGCCAGAGTTTTAAGGACACCAGAGTTTTGAGCACTGTTGAGGCCTTCCCTGGGAAGCCCTGCCTGGGTCTGCAGGTCTGCGAGGCCAAAGCCGGACGTGGCTGGCCTTGGGGACTCTCCAGGTCTGGCCTCTCGGCTACAAGGGGCTCAACACCAGTCACAGGCCATGCCGGATCTGGTAGGGACGTGTCTGGAAACTATTGGCCTTCAGGGTTCTGACTGGGGTCCACAGGCAGCAGCAGCAAAGTCCTTCATGCTAATGATGATGACCGTGGTGATGGTGATGACCATGAGGGAGAATGAGCCCAGGTACCTGCCAGGTGCAGGGCCCAGCAATTTATTTCACGTGCACTGATTTGTGCAGCCCTCACAAGAACCCTATGGGAGGAAACTGTGGCTCACAGAGGTTTAGTAAATGACCAAGAGCACATAACTAGTGAGCACCAAGATTCAAAGCTGGATCTCCTGGAGTCCCAGGCAGCCAGCAGCCTGCGGGTGCTGGAAGAAAGGAAAGTAACACCGGCCAGTGCCTTCAAGGGACATGTATTTTATCCTCATTTTTACAGATGAGGAAACAGAGGACCAGAGTTTAGTACTTTTCCCTGTGAGGCCAGGCATCATGCCAAGCACTTTGCATATATTTCTTCTTTAATTATCGTATCATCCCGTGCTCGCTTCGGCAGCACATATACTAAAATAATTATCGTAACATCCCTATGAAGTAAGAAATTCTATGATCCCCGCTGGTGTCGATGAGGAAACCCAGGCCTGACACTCAATGATTGGTAGGGGTTCAGAACCAGGCAGTCTGATCAGGGGGGCCCATGCTCTGGATTTCCTGAGTTGCCCAATACTGAAACAAGATGTAGCAGGGCTGGACCAGGACCCAGGACTCCTGACTCCCAGCTTAGAGCTCCAAGGCTAGATGGAGGCTCTCTGTTGGGATTCATTATTCCTTAAAAGCGGGCTGGCCTGAAGCCCAAAGAGTGAAATCACGCCCTGCGGTTCTGGGAACCTCAGACTGGAGAAGAAGGAAGCTCTTGCTCTGGTGTTCAAGTCTGAGCAGGTGTACCGAAGACTCTCCCTGCTTCCTCCTCTGGTTGGGAGGGAGCCCACGCGGGGTGGGCAGGGTGGGGCAGCCCTCCTGAGTGCCAGGGGGGAGGAGACCAGGAGGCAGGCGTGCCCAATAAAACAGGTCTAAATCTTCCCGCCTTACGCCTTTATCCAGGTGGTGCCCTCATTTGCTGCCCAGTAAACAGCAGGGCATGATGATGAGAGTTCAAGGCTACAGTCAGGAGGCTTGAATTCTGGTTCTGGCACCACTGACTTTGGGCACTTTCCTTGTCGATTCAATGCGTGTGTGTGTGTGGGGGGGCGGGGATCAAAATCCTCTGGGTTTTCTAATTAACACATTATTTATTAAGCACCTACTGTGTGCCAGGCACTGGAGACATAGGAAATGCGAAAGCAGATTCAGGCCCTGCCTTCATGGGTCTTAGAGTCTAGTAAGGAGAGACGCAAAGACCAAATCTTCCCTGAAACAAATGTAAAATGGCAGCTGTGGCCAGTGTTTTTTTTTTTTTTTTTTAAGTTTATTTATTTATTATGAGATTGAGAGACACACACAGAGAGAGAGAGAGAATCCCAAGCAGGCTCTGAGCTGTCAGTGCAGAGCTTGACGTGAGGCTGGAATTCAGGAACCCTGAGATCATGACCTGAGCTGAATCCAGAGTTGGATGCTTAACCAACTGAGTCACCCAGATGCCCCTAAAGGAAAGGCCTGTAGAGCTAAGGGAGTCCATGATGGCGGTGGGCGGGGGCTGGGGGTGGGGGAGAAAGAATGGATTGACAGTCTGAGGGGCAGTGGGGAAGGATGCCCTGAAGATGTGGCTACTAGGTAAATGGCTGCGGGGCAGTGGACAGCACTCTGTGTGTGGATGCCAGTAGTGAGAGGGTTCATCAAAGGAACTGCGAGGCCAGGGGGCCTGGGGAAGTGGGCAGGAAGGAACCTGGCCACTTCAAGGCATTGTAAGCCATGCATAGCAAGAGAAGTCAGGGGTAGGGGAATGAGGGGAGACTCGAGGGAGATTGCCAAACTTAACAGAATACGGCTCAACGCATTTTTCAAGAAAAAGAAAAAAATGCCACCTCCTCTGAGGAGCCTTCCCTGATTTCTCCACATTTGGCCTACGGTTTTCCTCCCTCTCTGGCCTTGCGGCTCAGGCAGAAAAACTCAAACCTCTGGGGCAGTCGGACCCGAGTTTTGTCTGTCTTCCTGCCATTGAAATGCCCTGTGTTTTCCTGCTATTGAAATGCACAGTGACTTCAAACGAAGTCCTCTGCCTTCTTCGGGCCTCAGTTTCCCCAGCTGTGCGTTAGCAGGTTGTCTCAAAGGACCCGCCCAGCGCTAACGCAACGTGATTCGCTCCGGCAGGAGCGGGGGGCTGCCCGCATTGCTGCGCAGGCACCCGGCTGCCGGCTGGGGCATCGTCACCCGGCTGCCGGCGCTTTCCTACCGGCCAGGGGCTGCGGGCGAGGACCCCGGCGCCAGACGCGGCGCAGGAAAGTGGGGGCGCGACCCCCGGCTCGCGCGGGCACCGCGCGGCCCCGCCCCCGCAGCCAGCGGCCCTGCGGCAGCCGGGCCCTGAGCTCCGCCCTCCGCCTCCCGCCGGCCTCGCTCCCTCCTCCCGCCTCCCTCTCTTGCTCGCTCGCTCCCTCCCCCCGGCCGGCTCGGCGCTGACTCCGCCGCACGCTGCAGCCGCGGCTGGAAGATGGCGGGGAACGACTGCGGCGCGCTGCTGGACGAAGAGCTCTCCTCCTTCTTCCTCAACTATCTCGCCGACACGCAGGTACGGCCGGCAGGGGCCGCGAGCCGGAGACCAGGGGTGCTGAGCTGCGGGGACGGCCGCCGCAGCCGCGGAGGCCGGGAGGCGACGGTGGGCGCATTGGGGGGATCGGGGGTTCCCGGCTGCAGAGCCCCCCCTTCTGTGCACCCTGCGAGGCGCTCTGTTACGGAGGTGGGGAGCTGGAGGCTCCCCCCGCGCAAGCCGGGGCGTGGGGGGCGCTACAGCCGCTGGGGAGGGTCTAGGCTCGGTGGCTTGGAGTCTGGCCCCCCCCCCGCCGCCAGCAGAAGTGGGGGTTACCGCGTTTCCTTGGGGAGGTGGAGCCGCGCCAAGGTGTGGGGGACCCTCGGGCTGGCTCTGGGTGCTGGAGGCGCGCCCTCAGACTGCCGGCACTTGCTGCCGTACTTTCACGTGGACTTGTGGCCCCGGCTCAGGCGCCTGCCCCGGTCCCCGGAGTGCCCCGGTCCTCCGGTCTCGGGTGCCCAGAATGCTGCTGCTGGCCCCCCGCGGCTCCCCATCGGCGCCTGCAGCGCGGAGTTTCCTGCCGGTTGCCCGCTAAGGGTTTAGGGGTCTGCGGGGCACGTGGACATGCGGCCGGAGATAGCACCTTCCTGGTTTCGCTACCGGCCGATCCCCCCGGGGGAAACGCACGGCAGGATGGGGGTGGAAAGGCTGTCTCGGGGCGCCTAGGTCCCCCCTGCGGCGCGCGGCCCGGGTGCGCGCTCGGCGATGCTGGGGGAAGGGAAGGCGAGGTGGCGTCCCGGGCTCTGGCTGCGCCTGGGAGCCCCACCGGCGACACGCGCGTGACAGGAGAGGGTGCTCTGGTGTGCCGGGGCGGGGGGAGGCGAGAGAGCTGGTGACTTGGAGACGGGGAGCGGGGGGGTGGTCGCTGCTGGGACGAGCCGCCACCGAAAATGCCTGCACTAGGCGTACGCGCCCCCCACCCCTTCCCTGGTTTTCCCCACCCCATGCCTGTTGCAACCATAAAGTTTGGCCCCGTAGTTATGGTTTTTTTTTTTCTCCCGGCGCCCGGCTGCGGGTAGCGGGGAGGCTGGGGATGCGGCGGAGGCGAGAATGAGACCCCGGATGCGGGCGCACGGCTGGACGCGGAGAGGGGGCCGCCGGGCGGAACCGGGCGCGGCTCGCGAGGGCTGCTTTGGTACCTGGAGTCGGAGCGCCGGTGCCGGCTCGTTTTGCATAACACTGGGAGGGAGGGGGAAGGCGGGGGGGGGGCGGGCGGTGGGAGGAGAGAGAGGGAAACTTTGCTTCTTGTTATAATCTGCCTGTCTTTGGGCGGCAGCAGCTGTCATGGGACCGGGTGGGCGGGGAGAGGCTTGCAAGCTGACTCTTAGCCGTGAGACTCGACTTGGAGGGGACGCGCAGCAGCCGAGATGTTCAGCTCCGGGCGGCGACTCCCGGCTGGCGGCTGGGACGGCGCGGCGTGGCGGGGTGTCGCGGAGAGGAAGCCCGCCACGCGCCGGAGAAGGCCGGCCCTCGCCTGCTGCAGACATCCATGCGTCAGGGAGCCGCGGGGCCTCGTGGTCGGTGGCGGGCGTGCAGGGGTGGCTTCGGGACGGGGACCGAAGGGGTGGTGGCGTGTGATCGCGCATTCTTAGGGCCCGGGGGTGGGGTGGGGTGGGGTGGGTAGTGTGTGTGATGAGCGGTCTGCGCGCGCGGGTGTGTGTGTTTGTGTGCACACGCCGCGCGCGCCGGGCGCGTACCTTTACCTCTGACGAAACTGCAGTGGAGCTCCCGCGGCGGCCACCGGGCGCTGTCGCCGGCCCCGCGCCCACGTCTGCTCGGAAGGCAGATCCCAGCCCCAGCACCTCGGCCGCCCCGTTAGTCCCGCGCGCCCCGCCCACGACCTGGGCCTGGGAGGACTGGGTGCCGGCGGGACAGAGCTGCCCCCGGGAAAGTTCTGTCCGCAGCCCTTGCACTTGTCTGGGGGTGCCTCCAAACCTCTCCACTAAGATTCGGGTGAAGGAGGCCTGAAATAGCAGGAGACTCGTTCGGGCGCCCAGAGCAAAAACTGTCCGTTCGGGACCGTGGTTTTTAACTCCCATCTTTAGTGTTCTTTGGTTCATCAGTAATTCATTATTTGCCCCTTTAGCCGCCCAGTGGGCCACCCCTGCAGGGATATTTCACCCAAGGCAACTAGAAAATTGGGTAATCAGGTGTCAGCAGAAGCAGTGCAGTGAAAGTTAATCTGGGACGTTTGCTTTTTTTATTTGACCACGTGACAGGCCGAGGCTCCTCTGGTGATCTCTGCCGGCCCAACTTGGGAAATGTAACTGATAGGGGAGCTTCGCAGCCACCCCTAGAAGGTTCACAGAGCCCAGCCGGAAGAGAACCTGGGCGGGCCATCGCGTGCCTCCTCATTTTACAGTTGGGGATAGAGGCTGCGAGGGGTGAGCAGCTCCTACAGGACCACGCAGCCAGCGGGTGACAGAGCCACCCAGGGCTCCTGACTCCAGGTCCTGTGTGTTACCTCGAAATAGCACTGGACTTGGAGTCAGAAGGCCTGAGTGGAGTCGCCTTCCCCACTCTCTGGCTGGGTGACCCCAGAGCAAGCCATTTGAACTCTCAGAGCCTCCTTTCCTCCATCTGTCAAATGGGGCTGGTGTTGCCGGCGGGAGAAGACGAGGTCAAGGTGGTGGGGGTGAGCACTGCTTGCATGTGAGATGTCTGGTTGTCCCAGCAATTCCCTCCCCTCCTCCAGACCCTCCCTGGCCCTCCCCTCCACCTCCCCCCCTTGCAAGGGGTGGGGAAAGTGAATACAAAGGTACTTGATGGTCTTTATCTGAAAGACTTGTCTTTGGTGGCTAACCCAGAGGTAGGTAGGGGGAGGACTTCTGTTCGGGAGACTTCACATTTACCCATTCGGGCCAAAGTTCAGAAATTCTGCAGACCAAGGATTGTGAAAGTTTCTTGGAAAGGTTTGGGGCACGTATCCCAGAGGACTTTGGGTTGGCTTCACCTTTGCCCAGCCTGTGCCCCTTGCCTCCAGTGCCCTCACCCACCGTTCCTGCATGGCCCTCGCGAGCAGGCCCTCCTTTCCTGGCTTGCTCTGCTCCTTCTGGTTTTCTTGGTCTGTGTGATACAACCAAGCACTTTGTGTGTGAGTCCCAGGGCCCAGGAAGATTTCTGGAACTAGCTTTGTGCCTCTCATCTCTTTGTGGCTCCGTGGCACTCGCCGCTGTGCTGAATTCCTTTGCTGGGCTGTTGGCTAGGCACGTGAATTACAGGGGAAGCTCCTAGCCCAGCCCGAGACAGCTGGGCAGTGAGTATGGGTAGAAACGAATGCAGAAAGCTACAGCTATAGGCCATGACTTAGGCTCTAAAGGCCACACAGTAAGCCCACACTAAATATGGGTGGTTTGAAGTCACTTGGGACATCAATCACAGATGCCCCAAATGTCAGCTTTGTAAATCATGTGGTCTAATCACTTACCATTTAAGAATATTGAATTGTAGAATTGTTAGAAAATACTGGCGAGCATAAGGAAGAAACTGAAAACATGTAATCTTACCCAAAGGTAATCGCTATTAATTTTTCTGTATATTTCCAGACCTTTCTTTCTGATTGATTCCTATCGATGATATCTTTTGCACAAAGATGGAGTCACATTATATACTAACTGTAACTTGGAATCGTGCTGTTGTAAATATGCTTTTTTCCCACCTCCTCCAAACAGTATGCTGTGATTGTCTTTCCACATCAATAAATATTCTACTTAATATCCAACTATCTGAATGGTTGTGTAGTATTTCATTGAGGGTTGAACCAGGATGTATTTAATGAGTCCTTTATTGTTAGTCATTTAAGTTGTTTATAATTGTTGTTTTTGTCCTTGTAAGCCATGCTGAAATGAATATCTTTGCATATGTCTTCTTTCCTTCATTTAAATTCCTCGAAGTGAAATTACTCTGTCAAAGGAACTATGCAGGCGTTTGGGAAACACATTTCTGGATTGCCTTCTAGAAGGATTGTGCTAATTTACACACTTACCAGCGTTGTGTGGGAATGCCTGGTTCCCCGTAGCCAGATAACTCTTGTTATTTTACTTGTTTTTCATTTTTACCAGACTGTTCATCAATAAATTCTTTTACCCTTTTGTTTTAACGTGCATTTCTTTGATCACTTGTAATGTTCCCCCCTCCCCCCCATATGATGATGGGCCATTTTTGGTTCTGTTCTGTGAAATGCCATGTTTGTGAACTTGGCCCATTTCTTGATTGGTATCCTGTCCCCCCATTGTTCTAAAGTTGGACCTGAGTACTCAGAAGGGGCCCCGTCACATGGAGACTTGGGGACATGACTTGAACCCCGGGTGTTCGCTTGTTGGGTATGCGGTATTGTAGCTTCTATGGTCTCCCATGCCAGGGCTAACTTCTTTACCAAGCCAACGTTCCAGGCATCTAGAGGGGCAGGTTGGAGTACAGCCTCGGCTGGGTGCCTTTGCCCACCCTTCACCTGTGTGAGAACAGGGGGAGTAAGTTCATCACCTGAGCCCAGAAGGGGACATGTTTGCTGGCTCTGTTTACCTGAGGGCTCGGCTCCACTTTCACTGGGGCCCCCTGGCTGGTCCTAATGCTCAGGATGCCTGAGAAAGCCAGGAAAGGCAGTGGCCCGGCAACCGGGCCCTGGGGGGCTCATATTTCCCCTTCACCTTGGGGCTCTCTCCCCAGCTGGCACAGGCCAGCCAGAAGCTTCACCATTGCCAGGGTATGAGTCACCCTTTTCCCTCTCTCTCTCTGGAATAATAGAAGGAATACTGGATTGACTCAGAAGCAGCCTTGCAAATGGGGGCTTGGACTTAGAAGTGAGGTCATAACATGAGCATTGCAGTGCTAACAGCTAACTCCTCCTTCATCATTCTCCATGGGGTTAATCAGAGCATCCTTTAGATGCCGCGCACTCTGCCAAGCTTTGTTTTTGCATTGTTGATTTTATCCTCATAGAGATTCTAAAGGGTGGGTGCCTCTGTGTTACCATTTTACAGATG